GGGGTGGGTGTGTCAAGGCTGCGGTCAATTCCGCTCTCGTGGATGCGCATGTGGCCGAATAGACCCATGCGATGAGTGAAGGTGCGAGGGCAGTGTGGGCAGTGGAGGCGAGTGCGGTGGGTGTAGGTTGGTGCTCCAGGCACTGGTTCACCAGCCTCTGTGCGATGGATTCGCAAGTGACCGACCAGGCCGATGCGAGAGGTGAAGGTGCGGTCACAGTGAGGGCAGGTGTAGACCTGATCCTCATAACTGGGAGCGGGAGAGGTGGGAGAGGTGATGTTGGTTGGTGTGTTGGTGTTGGTGATGTGTGAGACAGCAGTCTGGACGGCCGCCGCTGGGGCAGTGGAGAGGGAGGAGGACGACGAGGATGGAATTGGTGGTGCAGAAGGAGTGTCAGAGTTAGTTGGTGGAAGAGAGGAGGAAGAGGCGGGCGGGGGGACGATGGCTGGAGCAGTTCGAGAGGTGCAGTTGGTTCGGAGATGTCCAACAAGTCCGATTCGTGCCCGGAATGTCCGTTGACATCGAGGACACGTTGGGAGTGGTTGTGCGGCGGCGTTGCGGACTGGGCGAAGTTGTGATTTGCGGACTTCGCGTTTCGCTTTGGCGGCCGCGATTCGGTTGGCTTCATAGATAGCAGCGCCCGTCTTCACTGTTCTCCTCCATGTCACACACACACACACACACACACACACACACACACACACACACACACACACACACACACACACTAATAGTGCTCCTTGAAAAGCAGCAATCAGGCCTTGCCGCAAAATGCATATTTATTACTAAAATGGTCATTTAAACAGAAAAGGCGTGATTGTCAGTTTGCTCAGCGTGAAGAATCTGTTACATTTCTTCCTCCCAATTTGTTCGTCGAATGCGTCCAGATTTGGAGGCCGCTCTCTCCTTAGCCATGTACACTGCAAATGGAAAGGTAACATGCAAAGGTAGTGGCTTTATCCAACACAAGCAACTTCATGTAGAGAGTTGAATTGCACACACCAATGCTTTTATTAAACCCCGTTATGTCAAGATCGGAATAAAGCATGCGAAGTTAGGCGTAGACACACAAACGTACTCTCATATTTTGTCGGAAGACGTACGCAGCGACTCCCATCGCAGACATATTTCTGTCCATTAAGAATGGGGAAGGTGAGACCCGGTATCTGACGGAGACGAGGATCATCATATTGTGCTCTAGCCATTACTTGTCTGAGAGGTGTGGTTTCAGTGAATAGCAATCTCATCAGAGGGATTCCAATTTATAGGGGGATTGTTGTTGTCGTCTCCACACCGCCGCCCGCGCCCTCACCGCACTGCACTAAGGAGGGCTGCGTACTTTAGTCACGTGTTGAGATAAGGACGTGAACCTGTTTAGCGCACCATTCAGACTGTAGCATGCCTGGGAATGCGGATTCCAATGCCGCTTTGTTTTGCAGTGAACGTTTGTGAGTGCCGTGTGAAAATGACTTGGCTTTTGATGCATTGACCCGTCTGATAGGAAAACGTAGAGTGGGGAGGGGAGGGGGAGGAGTGATACACCTACCTCGTTGTAAATACTCGAGCACTTAAACTGATCCCTTGTTTAGATGGCATGTTGTTGAAGGCAG